TCTCTCTCTCTCTGTCTCTCTCTTTGTCTCTCTCTCTCTCTCTCTCTCTCTCTCTCACACACACACACACACACACACACACACACACACACATCATATCACTTTAGAATGTCAGAAACGGGAGAAACATTTGTCTAAGAGCTAACCCATCTCCCTCATTTTACCCTTAAAGCATAAACCTAGGTGTCTTTCTTGAGATCACAGGACAAATTAACAGGCTGGAACTATATATATTATACATTTTACTTAATTATTTGTTTATTATCTGTCCCTCTCCTCTAGAATGTAAGCTCTATGAGGGCAGGAACTTCATCTGTTTTGTTTACTGATGTATCCCCAGTGTTGCAAACAGTGCCACCTGACTCATAATAGATGCTCAATAAATATTTGTTAGATGACTTAGTGAATGAACCGATGAATGAATGGAAACACTGCACACATCGTATTCCCTTCCTCATGAATAACAGAGCATGTTACCATACTAAAGGCTTTACAAAGTCCTGTATAAGAAACTTACTTAACATACCATTTTCCAAATGATTTCACTATAGAGACTTTTTTAAAATGGTAAGATGTATTAATGATCTCATGGAACTAGTATCCTGAGGGACACACTGCGGAAAATACTTTTTTCAAATGCACACCATCACTCATATTAGCATATGGTCAAGGCTTTAATTCCAAGCAACCACCCTGGACCTCACCACAGGGTTCTCAAAACACTTCAGAAATGTGAGCTGGATGTGGATGATTGCCCAAAAGAGGACCTGTTTTGGCTCTTGTCAGCTCTTTGATTTAGAAAGTCAAGGAGTTTGGGGGAGGGTGATCAGTAGAAATGGCAGACTAGAGCTCTGGCCCAGGGAAGAGGAATCACAAGCTTGGGTCCTATTTACTAATTATATAGAACATATAGTCTCCCCTCACAGCCGTTTTGTTTGCACATATCTTGTTCTTCATTGGTAAAATGGGAACAGTACCAGTCATGATAACAACATACTGGGACTGTGGAAAGAATGTGAGCTTTGGAGTTAAACATATGGGTTCAAATATGTCTCTGCCATGTATTAGCTGAGTTACATTAGCCAACCTGTATTGATTCATTAGGCTTGTTTCCTCCCCTGTAAGGTAGAAACATTAATACCTATTACTTAGAGTTATTGACAGGCTTGAATTAGATAAGAAAAGTGCCTGTATTCTTGATAAATAATAGCTGTTATTATTATTACCTATCAGAATATAAGCTCCACAAAGGTGGGATTTTTGTTTGCATTGCTTACTCCCAACACTTAGAACAATGCCTGCCACAGACGAAGTGTTCAATAAATATAAATATTTTTTAATGTTGATGAGTTATTAATATTACTAAGACCTCTTTCAACTCTTCCTTTTATGGAGATATGAGCCTACACAAGAGAAACTTAGCAAAGTACTATAAAGGGGAGATGTTCTTTGTGTTGATACTAGACAACTTTGTCTTTTCTAAAGAGCTCCCTTTTCTTCCTTTTACCTAGATAATATTATTCCCAGAAACCAATACACAAGAAATTTGCAATACTTAGCTATATCATGTCTTGTCCCCCTAACTAGACTGTAACTTCTTGGATGGCAGGAAATGTTTCTTCTTTACTTTTGGGGGTACATTTTTGGTCATTACATTACTTAGTGCATAGTATGTATCTGATTCCTCCACCAAATGTGTGAGCTAGCACAATGACTGGATCATAGTGGCTACCTAATAAGTTTTCACTGAGATGGGGACCCAAGAAAGGGAGAAAGTTTAGTCAGGAGCCTCCATCTCCCACATGTAAACAACCCAATGCAGAGGAAACAGTTATGTTGGGAGCCATGTGTCCCTTCCTAAATCATCCTCTGCCTCCACATGTGCAACTTTATGGAGTCCTGAGCCTTCCTGGGTTTGTATTGCTTAGACTTGAGAGAGGCAGCCTAGAAGAATAAGTATTATGACTGTTGTAACAACGTTCATTATTTCAATCAAAACCTATTCAGACTGGTATATATAGAATGCATAAACAACAAGGTCCTGCTGTATAGAACAGGGAACTATATTCAATATCCTGTGATAAACCATAATGGAAAAGAATATGAAAAAGAATGTATGTATATGTATAACTGAGTCACTTTGCTGTACAGCAGTAATTAACACAACATTGTAATTCAACTATACTTTAATAAAAAATAAATTAAAAAAAAACCTATTCAGGAAACTCTTCTTGGGTGTCTTCTGTGGGCCAGCCACTGTGAGAGATGTGAGAGAAGATGCAGATGTGAGAGAAGATGCAGAAAGAAATAACACATGAATGGTCCAAATCCTCAGGGGGCAAATGGTTCAGCAAGTTCTAGATCACAGAATCAGGTGCACAATAGCTATAATAATAGTAATAATTTTCATTGTTAAGAACTAACTATATGTCAGACACAATTTTAAAAGCTTTACTTAGATGATCTAACTTTATCCTCGTAATAACTCTGAGAGTTAAATCCTCATTATCCCCATTGGGCAGAGGAGGAAACTGAGGCATAAAAAAGATAAAGAAGTTGCCCCAGGTGTCAGAGCTATAAATAGATATTCAAACATAGACAATCTGATTTCAATGTCTGTGTTCCCATGAAAAGTGCTAATAATTAGAGAAATAATTTGAAGAAAAAAGATTAGTCTCTCTTCTAGCCTCATTTTATTTGAATCAAAAATATTATTTCCTCTTTCCTCACTCTCTATGGCTACTTGCATAGTTATACCCATTTTTCTGAAGGGGAGCTTGAGATACTTGCGCTGCTCTCACAGAATCATGTACGTCTGGAAATGCCCTCTCTTTAGCGTTCAGAAAAGTCTGTTCCTTCGTCTCAAATGTGTCAGGGTCATTGGGGAGTTGAGAAGAACCAGGTTTTCTGGGAAGGACTTGGAGGTGAGAACTCAAGAAGGCATTCTCAAAGCTGGGAGCTGGGAGCCAGGAGAGCGGGTCTCTATTCAGCACCGTGGACAGAGCTCCGTGCGCCTTCAGGACCCTGGACAGAGAAGCTGGTCGAGCCTGCCGGGAACAAGTCTGACTTGAGAGCAGACCAAGGGAAAGCAGAGCGCTAAATTCCCGTATTCCTTCTTTTCTTCAGCGAGACCTCAGTCACCTGCTCCTGAATCTTAGGAACAGGGGTACAGAGAGTGAGTATATTTTAAGGGGGCTAGTAACGGGAGGAGATAAGACTTGGGTGAGGAGTATTATATATATAAAAAATGGCTTTGGCTGATGTACTCCCACAACTCTTGGAAGATCTAAATCAGGGTCCTCAGATGGGAGTGTGGCATTGTTAGTGATATTTTTTAATGATTTGTATTTTTTTAGGCTGAGTAGCAAAGGGCCACTGTTGTCCTTTTTATCCCAAAGTCCTATCCCCCATCTCATACTGAAGTTTTAGTCTCTTGGAGAGCACTCCTGGCAGGAAAGACAGAGAAATAATCTCTTCGCAGCCCCTTGCCCTCCTCCCCATCTTCCCGTTCCCTACCCCCACTCATCCCCGTTCTCTGTTTCTCAAGTATACTCGTGCGCGCGCGTGCGCACACACCCACACACACGTGCACGCGCGCGGGTGCAGGGTGAGAAACACGAGAGCTTCCTGCACACTTAGTGGAGACGACTGAATTCCGAGCGAGCGGATGCCCCCGAAAGCAGGCTCTGTCTCTTTAAATGGGTTGTAGCAGTGGGGGAGGGGAACTGGCCGGAGCTGGCATTGTCCAGTTTGAACTGAGCACCGGAAGTGAAGGGGCAGGGCCAGGGCCGTGCACTGAGCCCCGGGCCATTGTCCATCTCCGACCAGGGCACTAGCCACCCCCCTGGCCAACCCTCTTTATCTTCTAGAAGGGGAGGCTAACTCTTCAAATGAGGAGAGCCGCTACTCCAGTTCCCCCACCAACCTCACGATAGGGAAGAGAGCGCACTTCAGGATGGGGCTCAAACGAGGAGGGTCTGGGAACCTGAGAGTGTCGGGATCCCAGCAACGGATAGGGATAGGATGGGAATGGGGGCAGGATGAGGGCAGCTGGTGGAGAGAGGAACACCCTTCAAGCCTCTTTGGGTTCCTCCTGTTCTCTCAGGGAACTCCACGTGGGGTCAGTTTTAGACACAGGCAACAAGGAAGGATTCTTTACGAAGAATCAATTTAGGAGCGCTTTGAGAGATCCAGAAAAACTCAGTCGGAAACGCAGGGAGGCAGAGACATTCAGTTAGTCAGAGACAGACTTTGAGAGGCTGCACCTAGGTCAGGAGTGGAGATCAGCCCTGTTGGGTCTCCAACCTCCCCTCTGCTTCCCCATCCTAGGCTTCCTAGTGTCCTGAACTCCAGGTCTATCTAAGCACACGGGGGTGGGGGTGAGAGCGGGTCAGCGCTGAGCTGCCGGGTCAGCTCTGAGACCTGAAGGGGAAGGGAGGGGGAGGGGCGCTCAAGGGCTGGGGGAGGGGGAGGGCTCATCCATTTCTCCCTTGACAGGTGGTTTGTGTCTCTGATTGGCCAGCGCTGCCAGGCTCACACCTCCCTCCCCCAACTCTCTGGAATGTATAATTATCTGCAAGGGGGGTGGGGGTGGTGTGTGAGTGTGTGTGGGAGCAGTCACGTGGTTTTAAAACTACCCCCCCACAGGCCCCCCACCTGTATGCTGCTTTGGGGACCCCTACTGAGTCCTTAAAGTGCAGGATCCCCAATTCCCGGGTACTCAAGACTTCTAGGGCTGACGGCCCCAATCTCCAGATGTGGGGGGGGGCCGGGGGGTGTCAAACCTCAAGGTTCTGAGAAGGGACACCCCAGAGGTGTCAGAGACCGATGGGGCGGGGGTGGGGGGTGGGGGCCGGAGCTGGAGCCGGAGGGAAAGGGAGGGGAGAGGAGAGGGAGGGGAGGGGAGGGGGCTGCCCGCGGGGGGTTGGGTCATTGTCTTTTAGAATTTGGGAGCCTTTGAAAAGCCGTGGGCCCTCCCACCGCTATTGTGCTGGGGAAGATGTAGCAGCCTCTTCTCCGAGCCACCCCTTTGCCTCCGGACTTCTCTGGGGCCAGCAGCCGGCCGACCTGGGGCCCGGGGCCGCGGGCTCAGCCGACTACCATGGGCTCTGTGTCAAACCAGCAGTTTGCAGGTTCGACCTCGGGACTTACTGGGGACAACTTAGGCTGCAGGGGCGCCCAGAAGCCACATCAAAGGGAGGTGGGGGAAGTGTCCCCCAGGCTAGCCGAAGGACCCCAAATCTGCGGCCTCCTGTTTCAGGGGGCGATCTCTGGAGCAAGGAACCCTGGTGTCCCAGTGCCGTGCAAGCTGAAGCTACGGGGGCGGGGGGAGAGAAGAGGAGGGGCCTGTCTGGCCGTCTGTCCCCGGGCAACGTGTAGTGGGAAGATGAGCAAAACTTTCGGGGCACCACTGGCCTCAGTTTAAGCTTGGGGAGCGCGGGAGGCAGCCGGGACAGGTATTTTCTCGTCGGCATCTTGGTAGCTGCAGCGCCTTGGGTGTCCACCCGCGGGCTGCACGCTCAGGTCTCCTTGCCGGGGTCTCTGGTGGGGTCCTCCAATTCCGTGGCCCCCCAGCTGAGCGCCCTTCCAATCTCCAGGTGGCGGCGCCAAGGCGCCGGAGGAGGCGCAGGAGGACGCGGCCAGGGCGGCCGAGGAGCCGCAGCTGCTGCACGGAGCCGGCATCTGTAAGTGGTTCAACGTGCGCATGGGATTCGGCTTCCTGTCCATGACTGCCCGCGCCGGGGTCGCACTCGACCCCCCGGTGGATGTCTTTGTGCACCAGGTGAGACCGACCCCTGTAACTTTGCCGCGGGAAGGGGATGTTGGCGCGCGGATCCAAGGGTGGGCAGACGGCCTCGGCTGTTGGGTTGAGGGAGATCAAGGGCCCTCATTGTGCGCTCCCATCTTTGCCGTGGCACCCCAGTTCTGAGTCCCCTTTAACTCCAGCGGGACGAGAGCTGGGGGCAGAGCCGAGTATCAGCACCCCTACCCCCCTCCGGGAACCCCTCTGGTTTACCACGTGTCTGTTACCTCTTTCCCCTGGGCAGGGGGCAGGGGGCAGGGGGCAGGGAGATGACCCCATGTGGCAGAACTAAGGTTGTATTGTGCTTGCCAGTGGGGGGAGGGCGAGCAGGCCGGCCAGGGAAGCACATGCCCGGTCAGAGCAGAGCCCTGAGCGCCCGCGCCTTTCACTATGGTGTGAATGGAGCTCCCGGCCTGGAAAGAGGGAGGGAAACCACTTCGGGACCCAACGGGGTAAAGCTGAGAAGTCAGTGGGGTCTCCTCACCCAGGTGGTCACCCAAAACTCAAGCTCTGGGGCCTGGGTCGGTTTGGCAGATCCTTGAAGGATCTCTCTGGGGGCTTGAAAGTTCCTCGAGAACACAGTCTCAGGCACACGGTTCACTCGCTGGGCTTTTACTGTTCATTTCCTATCAGGAAAGAAAACCCAAGGAGCCCAGGCCTTAGATTCCTGGGCCAGGCTCGGAGGGAGTTAGGTTGCAACCCCAAGTTCTCAGTTAAAGCAAGGCAGCACAGTGGGGGTGAAATTCAGTGTCGCAGGGCAGAGGGTGGAGGGAGGCTAGCCTCTGGACCTATTCTCCTCAGCTTGGCATTTATGGCCCCAGACAGCCATTGATTGCTGTCCTAACATTCCCAGCCTCAAACAAGGAACCAGAGACTTCAGGTTTTCCTCCTCCCTGGCCACCCCTTCCTGAATATCTTAGAAGCATTTCTGTGGTCCTGGGCACAAGCCACACATAACAACCATGTAAAGGAAGTTGCTGCTTGTGTTCCCTCCACCTTTGGAGGTTTGGGGCTGGACCTGAGAAGAAATTGCTAATCCCAGGCACAGTAGGTTGACACCCAGGCCGGGCATGGAGGGGTTACTTCGGAGAGGTTGGCTTTAGGAGCAGTGGGGGAGGGGAAAGGAGGATGTGGGGATTAAGGGTTGGAGCCTGAGGGATGGTATTCTGGAGGGGGAGGGGTGGAGATGCTGGGTGGAGTAGTTGGAGGCAGCGGGGAAGTCTCCGAGCATGCCCCTCAGCGAGGACACAGAATGGGGGGAACAGGGGAGATAGAGGATATGGGGAGACGGGGGCCCACCAGTTAATGTTGGGGTCACTGGGCTACTAGAACATCTTTCCAGAAGGGTCGGCAGCAGAATGCTTGGCTATCCCCTTGCTTCACCCAGTTCCTCCACCCCCAACTTTACCCCCTCCCCATCAGACAACTAATTCTGGCTGGTGTCTTTGCCCCCTTCCCTGTCTCATTTACATATGTGAATGATAACCCACAGGAAGTAATTGTGGGAAAAAGAAGGGAATTGGCCTCTTTAGATCTATTAAATCACTTTATTACAGGAACCAGCTTTGAATGGCCCTCCTCAGCGGGGTGGCCGGCTCCCCCACTCTCCCATTTATCTGATCACAAAGAGATTAAAATCTCTCCTGGTCTGGAGATGACTGGACAGCTTCCCCAATTTTGGAAGGCTTGGAATAAAAGAGTCAAACCCAACATTTTCTTGCCTCCCTTCCAAAGGCTGTTGAATAGGGAAGGACTGAGGGGAATGTAGCCCCTCTGAGGTTCTTTGGTGATACCCAACTCGCAAGGAAGGTTTTCCTGAGCAAATGCATCTGTGCCTCAGCCCACTTACCCTTAGGATCGAAAGCAGTTGGGAAATATTGGAGGGCATAACAGAAAGCAGGGACCTTCTGGTTTGGGGAGTGGAGCCCATACCACATTATTTCAGATGGGTTTGCTGGGAGATAACTGGACTTTGGGGTCTTGGAATGTCCAGGGACATTCCACAGTTGAATAAGTTATCAGGAGGAGTTGAGCTGGGATAAGGAATCAAGAATTTGTCTCCCTAACACCCCCGACTAACAGTCACAGAGGACAATGGTGGACATTCCCTGAGCCTCACCTGGTAGCTCTGTCTTTCGATTGTGCACTGCTGGGGCTTACGTTGATCCTCAAACCCTACCATAGCAGTTAGACTAGTGATTCCAGTCCTGCACTTGAGAGATTTGAAATCTCTCCCTGGGGATCTAATATAGAGGAGTTAGGTAGATGCAGGACAATCCTTAAAAATCCTCCTGCGGGAGGGGAGTGTTCCCAAAGTGGAGAGAGAGTGAGACATTTGAAAACCTCTCCTTTGGCTGCTGGTGGTGGGTACCTTAGAATTGCAGGGTGGGTGGTGAGCAAGATAACTGTCCTAAGATAACATCTGCTAAGGGAGGGGGTCAGGGAGCCCCTTTCCTAAGGAAAGAGGAGTGGGGAGCAATTAAACATTTTCTTTTCCCTTCCAAGGTTGGGCCTATTTGGTTCCCAACACGCTGTTCACTATTTTTGCACTCCCTGTCAAACACGCAGTGCCCCACAGGGGTGGATGAGTGGGAAAGAAAACCTACCTTTAGCTTTTTAAAAAAATGAGTAAATAAAACCCATAAAGCAAAGAGACTTCTGTAACAACCCTTTTACTCAGCCACAGGTCTTATGCTAGGACTCTCTTCCTGTCCCTGAATTTGGGGGAATTTAAGAATCATAATCATGGCAGGTGGCCAGCCCTTAAATCAAGGTTTCTCAACCTCAGCACTATTGACGTGTTTTGAGCAGGATAATTTCTCATGCTGGGCATCCCTCAGTTGCGACAACCAAAAATGTCTCCAGACATTGCCAAATGCCCCCTGGGAGGCAAACTCGCCCCCAGTTGAAAAACAGTTATACATCGCAAGGTGGAACAAGAAAGAGCTAACTACTGTCTCCTGGTTTCCTGAGGTTCACCAAGGATTCTCAATTCTCTATGGCCATTTTAAGAGTTTTGGCTTACCTCATGTTTTCCTGTGGCTCAACTCCCAAACCCCTTAGATTTGTAGAAATTTGAAAATGAGGAAAAGGTCCCCTGCTTTCTCCCACAGCTCTTTAGAACCCAAGTCTGTTTAAAATGGCTTTCTGGCAAAAATGCTGTATTACAAGGCTTGGAGGCAAAAGAAGAGCCCAAATTTGACCGAGGGACCAAGTTTGGGTTAGGAGAAGAAATTTCCAATACCGAGAAACTGCTGAAGCCACGTGGCCTGCTTTTTCTGAAAAGGATGAGTGGGGGGTAGTGAGAGCAACTCAGACCCATCTAGAGTAGGGCTCTTGGGTTTGGGGGCAGGGAGAATGTAAAGGGATCTTTCCCACCTGGTTTATAACCTCACTAGTGCCTCTGATTACCCACCTTATGTTTCATTTTTTGATGTACTTGTCTTAACCCCTCTTCTAACCTGTAAACTCTTTGAAGAGAGAGACTAGCAGTCTGGTTAGTTTTCTAGTACGCACCTGGTGGGCTGAAGAAATGAATATGGGTCCCCTGAGGAATCAGGAGTACACTAACAGTTGGGGATCCTTGTCAGCGGAAGTCTTCCTCCAGACACAAAAGGCTGGAGGTAGGGAGGGAATGTTAACTGATAGTTGCTGTCTCTTTCTGGACTAGGGCCTGAATAGGGCCTGGCACTCAGTAGAAACACCATGAAAGCTTGTAGAGTGAATGTCAGTGGATTGCAGTTGAGCTCCCGATAGGATATTGGAGGCACGGGTTTGATGGGTCATTCATTAGTTACTTCATTTCCATCTTAATAGGAAACTATTTTTTAAATGAGTGGATTTTTTCAGGAAGTTGGCAAAGAAGCACGAGTTGGTTTGAGCATTATGGGATCTTCTTGGGTCCTTCTCTTTCTGAAGAGACCTGCTTTCTAGACAGTGTCCCAAGTAAAGGCTGTGCCACCATCATGAGCAAAGCTTGTGGTTGGTGACACCACAAGCTTGCCATACAAGTGGTTGTCAGTGATTTTCTCCAGGGCAAGGTTGTTTCTGGAACATTCCTAATCAAACTACCTATTGGAATTTGCTGGTGCTTTTTTTTTTTTTTTGAGAAACAGCCCTAGGCAAATCACCCCTCCTTTCTTCCTGCAGGCAAGAATAGCAATTACTATCAGTGTTAAATCTGGGAGGTCAAAGGAGGTGGGGGGGGAGGAGAAAACTTTCAAGAATAGTAGGGCACTTAGTACAGAGGCAGCTTGGAGTTACTTAATTCAGACTGGAAAGGAGAGTAAATGGCTTTTCTCAACAGAGCAGAACAACAACTGGGTTACTGGTTTAAAACTCCCTGACCCTTTCTTCACTCCATGGGTAGGTGGGGGGTGGGGTGGGGAACCACCCTGGGTTGGGTCCTCATCAGAGTTCAGTCTCCTTGCGACTCCATTTTCCTAAGGACCAAGGAGAAGACGCCCACCCTAAGGAGCTGGGAAGATCAATCTAGGTGAACACTCGCGTGCAGAGTTGAGAACCGCGCGTCTCCTTCCTCTCTTCTGCTCCAGTCTCCCTCTGGCTGCCTTTGTGCCGCCTTGCTGATGAGCAGCACCATCTGGTGGAGAACTCCAGGCTGGAGCTCGTGGTCCTGGCTGTGTGAGCAGAGGCGATGTGTGTAGGGTTGTATGCTCACAGCCTTTGGTTCTGGACGGATCTCTTTCCCCCACCCTCCCTGACACACACATCAAAATAAACTGCTTCTAATAGAACCCATTGGTTTCCTAGCTCCTACCAAACCCTACCTTCAGGAATGACGCTTGGGTTGAACTGCGAGGACACCTCGGAACCAAGTCATTAAAATTACTTTCACCTGCGGCTTTTTACTTTTTCATTGTGGCTGTTAGAAAGTTTTTAAACGGCTGTGCGTCTTGCATTATATTGCATAGTGCTGGATATAGAGTCCGGCTAGTTGCAATCAGCTCGGGGCTCTCACA